TATTCACTCAATGATGTAAAAATTCATTCAACAATTATTATTAATAATTGTATTGCATTCAAGCTTTTTAATAACTTTCTTTTTGTGTTTTAATAATAAAAGGTTTGTACATTTATAATAAAGTTACAATTCAAATTATAAATACCAAATAGTTAAATGTTAGAATATTACTTACGCATATTATTGAAGACAAATATACTTGCAATTGAGAAGTACCTATACAGTATCGTTGATTTTGAAGTTTATTTATTTTCAGCAGTGCGTATAGTCTCAATTATGTGTAATGAATTCTTCTAACTAATTCAGCTATTCCAGGCACGTGGATAAATTAAATTAATTATCCAATGACAAAGTAAAACATTAGCGATAAATTTAGAAAAAGCTTTGTTGGCTTTGATTTTATTTTTTAAATGGTTCCTACGTAAGTGATTTTAACTACTTATTAAATTATGTTGCTTACACTCAATTATAAAAATACTGAGTTGAAAAATCATAAGCTATATGTCAGTATTGGCAATTATAAAATGAAGCACATTTTTTTTAGATTAAGTTTTATACTAAATCTGATCAAAAACTAAGTTCACACATTTTGTCTCTTGTCTAATAAATGGATATAATTGTAATTATAAATTTGGTCTGCTAAATATAAAATGCTTAAACATTAATACTTAAACAGTTTTAAATACAAATGCTTAATGTGTATACATTATTATTATTTTTTATTATTTTACAGAAAGAGAGAATTATTATTATTGTTTTCTCTTTTTTTATTGACAAAATGTTCAATAGAGTTATGTATTTTTTTCCTATCTTCGCGTGGAAGATATTAACCTCATTATAATAAATAAGCTCAGTGTGTTGTATAAATATATTTGAAAAACAAATATGTATTTATGTTTTATACTACCTATATAATATCTACCAGTAAGGGAACTTAAATACCACATTCAAAATAAATAATAAAAACAACGGAAACAAAATGCATATTAAAACTTTCATTCATATTATTCATTTGGTTTAAATTAGAATGTAAATTAATGAGAAATTTGTCTTTTATTTGTTTAGTTCCATCAAATCTCAACATCAAAACATAAAAGTTGATAGTTACCTTCTTTAAATTAATTCATGATTTTGTTAATAAAAATTGTAATAAATTATCATTTTTCGTATTTATCTTAGATACACTGATTTTGTAATTGCTGTTGCTTCTATCATAATTTATTTTTTCACAAAATGCGTGTTTAGGAAGATACGATTAGATATGATTTAAATAATTAATATTTCTTTACCCTGCTTATTCTTCAATATTTTAGATGATGTTTGGTGATTGTAGCTGCTTATATTTTAAATCTACAAGAATGTTATTAAATATATGTATTTATTATTTTTATATTATTAAGAATTTACATTGGTTGAAAGTTGAAACCATGGCAGAGATATTTGCATAGATATGGCAAGTGATGTTGTCGTAGTTATAAATATTCTATATGATAACTTTTTATACCTACAATAATACATTAGAATTGACTCTGGTTTTTCGGTGCAATAATTTTGTGTACTGTCGACCTGCTATTGAAACTTGGAATTTTATAATGTAAGAGAAAATGTCTACCTTTAAATAAGCTCCTTTTAGATTAATGAAAGGTGATGGTGAGATAGATCCATTTCGAGATAGTGCATTTAAGTCCACAGAAAGAGACGTACCTACGTTTGATTGGATAATTGTCTGTGTGTGGTATCATAAGGAAAATAATTCAATCAAGTTTTTTGAAATAAACTGTTTATCGAGCGTATTGTTATCAGAGAAATATATAAGAAATGTGACACTAAAGTTTTGTTTTTAAATTTGATTATGTTTCCTATTATATTATCAAATATTTAAGATTTCTTAGACACTATTTTGATAATTGTTTAGATGATTTTTGACCAACTTTTTTAAAATTAATTTGGTGAGAGTATTAGGTGCCTTCTTATTTAAGTTAATTATGTAAGTAAGTTCACATATTTTTAAAACTATTAGTACAATTTTTATTGTCTGTTATAGTCATACGATTATATTATTACATTTCTTTTTATCCTCTTAAAATATAAGTCGTAATAAACAGCTTAAAATAGCACAATTTGGAACACTGACCTCACTTTTATTAATCGTATTAATTCATAACGCATTATTTCGTTGGAACACCGGGAAGATATCATAGGTATTTTATTTTCTTCATCGACGAATTTCTCATAATGCGTACCTTTTATTATTTATTATACTGTTTTTTGTACGTCTGATTATATATTTTAGTATTCTTTCGAACTTTAATGTTATCAAAATAACTCGAGTGAGCACCCAATTCAAGCACGATCGAATAAGAACAAATTAAAAAAAGTCACGCCATGTCCGTGGGCGGTATCATATAATGATAGGTATGATGCAATGGGTACTAACATATTATATAATAGACCACTGCCAGTGGTTTTAGAGTTTTGTTTCTCTATATTTTAAGGTTTTTCTCTGCCACCTTCGCCATGACTGCTGTTTTTTTCTCTAACGTGCCACGGTCACGTAAACGTCCGATATGCCACTATTACCTACACAGTAAAAGTGTACAAAATAATATTTTATACGGGGAAAAACGGAGACAGCGGCCAAGTCCAAATGTATAATGCATAAGCGTTTTGTGTATGCGCTGAAATAATAGCCGGATAAAGTCAGCGAAAGCTTTCGGAAGCTTAAAACTTTCTGCCCTGAAAGTTATTGTTCAACTTCTAGAACGCTCAAGAGAAGCAGAAGAATACGAAGAAGGGTACGCACGCAAAGTCAACACACTCACACACACACACACACACACACACACACACACACTTACACGCATTATGCAGCGTTGATTATACCGATGTCATTGCTGATAGTGGCAAAGATCTTGCATTATTGCCTTATCGTACCTTATATTTTTGTTCTAAGACTCGACCAAACCATCGCACGGTCTTCTGTCGAGACGATTCGTGTTGGCAGTCCGAAAAAAGATCAGACAATATTGTTATACACCTCTGCGAGCATGATAATACCTATAATACAACATTCAAAGTTGTTACTAAATTGTTTGGAGAGAAAACTTGCTAATGACGTTAATAAATTCATGCAAAACTCTGAGTACGGTAAAAAAAAAAATAAAAAACGACAGAGACAGAAAGATAATGAAAACGTAAAGAAGTGGAATACAAATAAAACGAACCCAACATTGAATCATAATTCAAAGAATGATAACATGGTTTTGTTTCCTGTTCTTTATTTGGTTCCCTATAACATTTTTGTATTCCTCGCATTTGAACGAAAACACGTGTAAGCGTGTATTTCTAATATAGTTGTCATGAACATAATATTTTAGTGGTGATACATTTTGTTACGAAAACACACCGTTTCCTTCCCATCATCAATGAATAGTTTATTATTATTATTTATGTTATATTGTTTTATAATAATGGCATAATATATTCTTATTTGGTTATTTATTCAGGAAATGCTTCACAGTCTTCATTTTTTTCGTACTATTTGATTCGATTGGATACGTGTACATCATATTCGTATGTAATATGAACCAGCAAAACAAAATTTAGTTTTTATAATATAATATGCATTAATGTGTAATAAGCATAATCTATTATTTATTATATTGTTATACCGTATATTATAGACAAACTATTTTAGTCTAGTGATATTCGAATAAAAATGTGAAATTTTAGTTCAGATGATTCAAAATATTTTATTTAAGTTAATCTTAATATATGAGGTATAATAACTTTAATAACAACTACAGTATTAAAAATAATACAGAAATTGTGAGTACTGCTCATATTTAATTACCTATTTCAATAATGAAGATAAAATACAATTTTATAATTTTGTTATACATAAATACTAGCATTAAAAGATCATGAGAGTTATTTGTAAATATATTCCAGTACTTATTGTGAAAATAATAAAAGTATAGCACATTAAAAAATTTACCTGTACGTTCAATGGAAATATATTTTTTTGTATATACCTATCATATATATTGAATTAACAATGATATTAATTTTTTCTTCCTTTAGCACCATTCGATGGTAAAATAGATCTATCATAAGCTTCATATTATAGCCTCTAAAACCGATTAAAATTCTAATACATATGGTACTTTTTAAAGACAATTTTAGTAGTTTCTGATAAAAATTCAAAATAAGTGCAATTTAGTATTTATGCAGCACCTGTTTAAAATACTACCTATTTGCCATTTATTTTTATAAGGACAAACATCAATATTTTTAAAAATTATCGAACATTTATGATCGTTTTATTTCATACTAACGGATATTTTAAATATTAACTTATGCACATTTAATACAATAGCTAATTCATATATTTCAGTATAGAATTATTTCATTGTTATAATAATTGAACAATTGCTATTTGTAGAAGTGAACATTTTTTTTAATAAAATGAAAATATATTATAGTTTGAATCTGAATGTAGAAACTAGACTAGATAATATATTACTATTCATAAAATAGTACTTCATACTAAAACTTAATGGGAATATCATCCATAATTTATTTATTATCGATTATTAAATGTTATTTAAATTTAGGGTGATAACTTATAAAAATGAAGACTAGTAATACAAATTAAATGAATGCTACCGTCCTCAACCAAATTTTTAAAAATAGGACTTATCAAATTTAAAATTATAATCCCAGAACCAAATGTTGAAGTAAATAGTTTACTATTTAAAATCTAAGACCTGCATTTTTCAAACCATCTACGAGAATCTGATTTTTATGTCACACCTCTAATTTGACTAAGTCAATATTATAATATCATATCATCACATTCCGATAATTGTATTTTTTAACTTTACTAAATTATTAATAGGAATGTCTATAAATTATGAAACTTACTATATGTATATAATGTATATAATATTATGAATATTTCTTTTATATTTAATTTAAAAAAAATGTACTTGTTTTAGGTGTATCCAAAATCAGCATGCATATTTCATATGCGGCAATTCTGTTTTTGATGTTGACTTTGTGTTTTATCGACGATGCTTCTTCTAATGGTAAGATAACGTTTATATATTTTACTATTATTTATAAGATGCAAAGATGACTAACCTAATATTATTTCGGCGAATCCTCTAAAACCATGATACATCTTTAAAAAATATATATTTATAGTTTATTAATTATTTATATTTTATTTTATTTTAGAATTTAACATGATAATTATTTGATTATTTTTATAGTGACTTATTTTAAAGAAGGTGTGGCCTATTGGCTATCGTACACGCATTTATAAGTTTCAGACGTCCTGTGTGACGTAACAGTAAAAATAGCCGCTATTTGTTGATTATAATAGGATACTTGTATTTTACCTGAGTATTTTATTGTTATTACTTATTAGAGTATAAATATAATGTCCTGTTTAGATTTGGTTGTCTGTCAACACTGCTTGATCACAGTATGTGTTGAGCTGGCATTTGGTACGATAACTAAGTAGAATAGATTTATTAATATCTTTACTTTTTAATAAATTGTACTTTACCGTACATAATTTATAATGGTGAGTAAAATGCAAAATACAATAAAATCCGTTAATATGTTTTTTTTAAACATGTTTGGTAGTATTTTTAGCTTTATGTACTTTACCTCAGACCTTCGCTTCTAGATACCGAAATTTCTGAGTACCCAAAATAACTGGGGACCGATAGTATTTGGAATTTTTTGATATGAGCATTCTTTGTTATATATCAAAATTTCTAATAAATACTGTAAGTATTTCACTAGAAGTTTATTTATTACTTTATTCAATAAACTGGTAGCTATAAAATTAACCAAATTTAATATCATAAAGTTCAGTCTTAAGTCAAATGTATTCAGAAAATATCACAGAAATGGCAGATTTCTATATTTAATTCAATACATATGATGCTAACAATAACATTATCTGAATTGCTGATCAAACAATAATATTTTCTTATAAGCAACGTTTTTATTGTATGCAGAATATATTCATATGAAAATACTGTAAGAAAGTTGAATTTGAATAACAATACACCTAAGTAGTAAATGCATTTCTTCTTAAAGAAATTGTAAATCAATAATATATTCATAATATTGATTAACATTAAATTATGGAATGCTAAATGCGGAGGTTGCTTTATTTTCTAAGAGAATTCAAAAACATAATTCCATCAAATGTTCAACCATATTCTAGTATTATACGTGTTTAAACTTGTAAATATTATATGTTTGAATTGCACTGTTAAATTAACAAATGTTTACTACACACGCTGATTGGTAATTTAATTAAAGTTGGATCAAAATCATTGATAAGCCCATACACTAACAAGAATTACCTATGTTGTATTTTTAGACGAATCGTTAGCTTAAAATAGTTATATTTTGCTTATTGCAAAGAAATATGAACTGTTATATAGTATAATATATTATATTCCTTTGTGTGATTTTATAATGGTTTTCTTGCATATTTCTTTGAACAAATACGTTTAATAAAGGTACACGTTTTTTTCTCAATTGTATTTAACGCAAACTTGTTTTGAATATTATTTGTTTTGAAGTTAATGTAAACAAATTTAATTTACCTTGAATAAATCGGTTTTTGTTTAGTAATAATATTTTTTTATGGACATTTATAATATAAAAAACATCCTCGCCGTCTACCAGTCAACATTACATTATGTATTTATTTCAATGATTATTTTCAAATCTATTTATTTAACTAATACTTAGTATCAGTATTTTTAATAGTAAACGATATTTTTCTATACAAAATAGAATTGATTTAATTGAACTCTAAAATTTAAATAATATAATCTGTACAGTTATAAAATAAATTAAGTAATAACATAACTTTTGTACAAATAAGATATTTTTCTGTTAGCAGGAACGCCCATATAGAAATATCAATGATTTTTGATAATATTAATAATGAATATCAAATCGACTTAATACCGCATACCTAAAAATACTCGTATTATAACTAATTTCATAACCCTTTGAATAGAAATAACGAAATTCACCAAAATCGACTTAAGCCGGTCATAGATCCATTAAACCATAATATGACCATATTATTGTAATTACATTATGTGTTATATGAAGTGTGTGCAATAATATAATACAATGTACTTATGTAGGGAAGATAGGTTTTTTTTATACCCTTCGACATTGCGTTAGCTGATTTAAATAACATTAAAAAGGTTATAGAAACATTGATATTTCATCGGTGTAAATTCTACTCTACAACTCGTAGTTAGATTAAAATGTATAGGTGCCCACAACAATACCGGAAGTGTGTAATATTTTACCCCGGGACACATATTGGCCTCACCGATTCATTATACGCATAACCACGGATGTCGATTTGATTTCGACAAATTGCATTCGTGATGGATGGCGTTTTGTCGGAATGAAGTGTAGTGTGGCCATGTCCGGTCACACCCCATACGTCATATACATATACGACTATCGTTTGTGTTCCGTGGCGGGTCAGGGTATTCGGTTAACAGGCGGGGGTTGTCTTTCGATATGTAAACATAGGTAGGTACTGATGTGTGTGCCCACTAAACAGTATAACAATAATGACGTATGCGCCGATCTAGCAAGGACACAACCCCTCAGTTACCCGATGGTAGGCGTTGGTTTTTTTTTCTTTTTCAAAATCACATTTGTGAACGCCTGTCGGGCTCGGTACCTGGGCGGCAGTGGAGCGGTAATAAACCAAGAACGTGTGTGTACGATGAAAAAAAAACCGAAACAAAAGCGGGCACGCGAGAAAAGTCGCATTGATTCGTATAGTGGGTATTTTTTCTCTCGTTCTGCAAAATCTCGTTATACACTCTACATAATGTAACCCCTGCAAAACGAAATGCCGGTGTCTAATGGTTTACCAATGACGAAAACGCTAAAATGCGCACCGCATGTGCAGCTGCGTACACCCGGAAACACCGATCCGAGCGAAAATTCGTATATTTATATCTTTTATCCGAATGTTTTTCTTCACTCGGTTAACCATTTTGCCATTATTCGCTTTCCTGTAGATTTATTTCAAATATTTCATAAGAAACTGCTCAGCGTCTACGATATTATCACCAGGCCATGTGATACAATATAACAATTAAAGTGTCGCGAAAGAGCCACGAGTTTTTACGTTTCACCCCTTAATAAAGATCTGAAAAAAATTTGCAATCTGAAAACAAAATGTTGGTCGTAAGTTGCCTATTGAACAACAGTTAAACACATTAAACATGTATACACAACTCTTTATTTACAGACAATTCTCAATAAAAGAACACGTTTCTATTCCCCTAGGTCGCCCGATAGAGATAATTTATTTTTCTAGTAAATCAATGTTATTCATGTTCATACAAACATAGCAACCGATAAGACAATATTAATCCAATTAATCTAATTAAACTCATAACTATACAGTTCCCAGTTGGTAAAAATATATTGTAATATAGTAACTATATAATTATCATATAATTAAAGCTATTATTTAAATGTAAAATAGGTGTAAGTTCTACTTAAGTACTTCAAACATTTAAATTAATACTTTGTAATAAAACTATGAATCACAGAGTGCAAGTTTACAACCTATTATAATTTAGTATGTACATTTCAACTGTATCAATATTGTTATCAATTAAGAAGAACTATATAAAAAAAAATGTTTGAAAATAAAAACAACACACATTTTGAAATTGTAATTATATTTTCATTTTTAGTTTATTCATTTCAAAAAAAGATGGGCAAATGAGTACTTTTATATTTGGTGTTGAATTGGTCACTGTTGTGAATGAAAAACGATTCTGAGAGGAGAGTTTCTCCAAAAAAAAAGAGACGAAATCAATTTTAGAAAAACAATTCTCGTTTTTTCAAAATAAATTTTATATTTACGATGCTTTTGAAAAATACTCCGAATTTTTTACTTTTGATCCCAAAAATATCAGCTGGCTTCACTTTCTGACTAGGAATGATTCTGAATTTGAAAATTGAAGCAAAAGCTAGGTGTACTGCTTCAAACGGTGATGACAGACACACACAAAAAAAAATACACCATTGTAAAATACTAAAATCAAATATTTTTCCCCTCAGAATCTAAAAAAAAAACAATCACTTTATAAAATACAATTAGTAATGTTATCAGTAAAAATTAAATAAACAATATTAAAATACTATGAGATTGATTGACTGTAATACTATCAAATTAAGAATATAAAAATTAAAAGTTTATCTATACAAATGAGTGTGTCTAGTATTATTGTTAAAATTGGTACGTATATTAGATATGTCTGTGTAATATTTTGTTAGATAAATTATAACAATGATTTGCAAAGAAATCTAGCTTTCTTCTATCAATTATAAAATAAATGAGGAGCAAACAAGACATTAAAGATTAAACGTAATACTTTATGTTAATGCATCTTAGGTCAATGCTGTTATAAGGTATTCAATGAAATTGTGCAGAATAGAACCAAATTAATATATAAATTTTGTCGTTACTTGTTTTGTACATTTGATTCAAATGAAGCATAATGGACTATGTGTATTATGTATAAGATACTTCCGTAATTTTCAATCATGTTCATGTGTTTTATAATTTGTTAAGAAGGTATAATATGTGTATACTTCATAAGACCAAAATTATTTCCGTTTTAATGTGTATTGTATTCACATGAATTTTGTTTAGGTAAATTTTAAGATCGACACTCACTAGAAAATAAGTGAATTGAATAACCATTTGCCATGATGAGTTAATTCTAAAATATTAGATAACTCAATGCTGAATAAACACTGTTAATTTGTTAGAAACAAAAGTTGATATTTGGTACGTGTCTCAATGTCTTATACAATTTTCAATTCCGTCAGTGGTGGTGACGAATAATTGAATCTGTACCAACTCTTCAGGGTGCTTATTGGACAGACGTTGAAGAATTAGTAGTGGGAAAGTATCGCTGAAAATATAAGGCTTTTATGGTAGTTACCAGCTCGGTCTGTGTAATTAATGTGTAGGGATTTTGGTCTCCGGATGACC